ACATATGCGGACATATGTAAAAGCATATGAAAGCCAGCATTCCAATGGATTTTCGGAATTTTTGCGTGGCACCTTCAGTCGTTGCTTGCGCCGAATATGCACCGCTTGCCGGTTCTACCGAACGCCCGTATGTCTGTGGCAAAGGCAATCAGCTAAAAGCTTTGCACATTTGCGTTTGCCATTAGATATTTTAGCTGCTCACCACTTTATTTCTATGTTTTATTTTTATATATTTTTTTTTTTTTTTGCTGTTGTTGTCGCTATTGCTATGGCTTTTGCTGTTATAGTGCTTGCGACGGCCGCACTAACCAAGTCAACTTGCGGCTGCTCGTTTGCATTTTTAGCTTCGCGCTCGTGTTGGTTATTCATTTGTGAACACACGCATATACCGTGTGACAGCAAGCGGCCGCGCATGCGCACAGTTGGATTTGTTGTGTGACAGGTTATTAGACGCACATATATACGTATATGCGCGATATATACGTATATGCGTTTGCATTTATTCAAGCAGCTTGTTGTTGCAATATCGTAAAAATGCGGCAACCAAACTTACGCATTGCAATAAATATTTATTAAAAAAAAAAAATAAAAAATTATATATATAAAATAATTTATAATCAGACGCAGACGAAATAAAAATTAAAAGAATTTAAGCAATAACACACACAAAAAAATATGACTTAACGTCTGCTGCTGTGAGAAGTTGTTAAGTTTTTGCGCCGCATTTGCTAATTTGATTTCCTACATATTCGCATTGCATGCCGCAGCATCGCTGGCTGGCTGTGTCGCCATCGAAAGATTTTCTACGCAATGCTTTTTAATGTGTGATAAGCTTAAAAACTAGTTACCTGCAAGTTGCACTTAAAAATTTTGTGTATGTGTGTGTGTGTTTTTTTTTATGAATTTTTCTTTGCAACTTATGAACGCATGAAAGATGTGACAGCTTGCATGCCACACTCCGTACATTTTGCATGCTGGGAAATTCGAGCGTTCGCTTCGGCTTGTCTGCTTGCCACGCCTGGCTGTCACTGTTTCGTGCGAGATAAGAGTGAAAATTTTCTTTTGTACGCTGGCGAATCGTGGAGATTTATTGCGGTAATATGTTTGCATTTTTTTAGTGTTGCAAGTAAAAGCAAATATTTGATCATTTAATTGGAGTGAAATTGAGGAGAAAGACAACCAACATATGTATGTAAGAGTGTATTTATAATTCATTATCTTATCAGAGGTATATTTTTTATATTTAATAATGGAAAAATTCATTTAAATAATTTAGAACTGAATGAAAAATAAAAAATTGCAAAAAGTGATTAAACAAAAAGAATAAATAAATAAAACAAATAAAACAAAATTGCTAAATAAATATAAAATTAATAAATAAAAACAAAGTTAATATAAAAAAATTAATAAAAAAATATAAAAAAAAAATTAGAATAAAACATATATATAAAATATTAAATAAATAAAAAGTAAATAATTTAACTAAAGTAATAAATATATAAATTTAAAAAATACAAATAAAATTAAAAAAATACAGATAAATAAAATAATAAATAAATAAAAGTGAAAAATATGAATTAAATAAATATTCATAAAATATACACACAAATAAAATAAATTAGAGTAAAAAGTAAAATATAAAATAAAAAATAAAATATAAAATAAAAAATAAAATATAGAATAAAAAATTAAAAATATAACAAAATATAGATAAAAATAAACTATAAAATAAAATAAAAAATTTAAAAAAAGAGAAGCAAAATATATAAAGAAAAATAGGAATAAAAAAAGAATAAAAATAGAAAAATAAAAAATTAAATTGAAAATAGAAAACAAAATATAAAATGAAAATAGAAAATAAAATATAAAACAAAACATAAAATAGAGAGAAAAAATTATATAAAAAAAATAAAAAAATAAAAAAAAATAAAAGAAAATAAAAAAAAAATAAAAGAAAATAAAAAAAAATAAAAGAAAATAAAAAAAATAAAAGAAAATAAAAAAAATTAAAAAAAATAAAAATAATAAAAAAAATAAAAAAATAAAAAAATAAAAATAATAAAAAAAATAATAAAAAAATAATAAAAAAATAAAAAAAAATTAAAATAAAAATTAAATCAATTTAAAATATAAATAAAAAAAAAATTAATTGAAAATAAAGTAATAAATAAAATTGACAAATAATATATTTAGGTGAAAATTAATTATTAAAAATTAGGAAATATTTTCAATTGGAAATGAATAAGTAATGGAAAATTAAGCGATTATCAAAAAAATGTATATGAAATATAAAAACAATTAGTGAAAAAATCAATTATAAATAGCAATATTTTATAAAAAAAGAGTAAAATAAATCAAGATATTATTACAAAACAAGAAAGACTAAAACAAGTCTAAATAAGCCATAAATTCGTCGTTATCAAAATTTTTTTATGTTTAATCTTTCTGGTTCGAAAAAATGCTTTCACCTTAAAACTCCACGCACACCTTCAACATAAATTCTAAACACTTGTTCCCTCAAAATACCACCTATTGTTTTTCGTTTCATTTTTCTTCATCTGCCCTCTGCCTCTATTTTTTTTTTTCGCTAACACCACCACTATTAACTCCAAAAACACGTACTACCTGCTGTAGCTTGGCAATTTCGCGGTCGTCTGTGCGCTATCATTTCAAGTAGATCTCGTTTAAGTAGTGTAGTGAAAATTAAATACGGCAGCAGCAACAAAACAATAGGAAAAAGATGGAAGTACGACAAACACTTTTGCTTTTTTTCTTCTGAAACTGAAACTACTTACGTAAATGCCATAAACTGGCTGCGGAAAGTAAGAATTCGCCACGAACATACTTGTACTACATATACATGCATATATGTATGTATGTACGTTAGTAAAATTATATAAAAAAAAAAAAAAAAATCAAAGGAACAACAACTATAATTTGCCTTTACAACAGTGCAATGGCCGATCCTCAATCGTCGGCGTACTAACTACCAACTTCCTTAGTACCAGCCAGCCATAATGCGACCCTGCCAGCTAGGCTACAGATAAATGTGCTGATATAGGCAATGCCGTGCGAGTTCGTTGCTTAAGTCTTTCGTTCTTGATGTGCAGAAGAGTAAAAAAGAAGTGAAGTGAATATTGTATGTTAACCTCCAAAATCCACAAAGAAATTGTTGTTTATTGTTATTGCTGACCACTGTGCCATGACGATTATGTTGCTTGCTGCTGTAGCTTTTTTTTCAACAGTCAGACATTCTGTTCTCTCTCTTTCTCTCTCTATCTCTGGCTTATTTATGTCCCTGGCGCAAGTGTACTTGTGACTGTGCGCTCAAAATTATTAAGTGTTTGTGCGTTTTTCTGCATTTTCTCTGGGTTTGCGGTATTTTTGCATTTTTCTTTTATACAAGCAGCACCTTCATTCCCTTACGGTTGTGGCGAGACGGTGCATTACCGGCAACATACTACCGCCCCGCCGTTCGTTCGGGTCGTGTGTGTAATAATGTGGTTTTCGTTGACTCGCATGCAATTATAGTGGTTTGAAACATGCATATGTACATGTGAGTGTATGTGTGTGTGTGTACTTTGTTGTTTTGCCAGCCATGCGGGAGATTTATGCTGCATTCAACTTTAACCGCCACAGTCAAAATTGCTTGATAGCTTTGCAAATTACAGTTGTTGTTGTTGTTGTAGTTGTTTTTGGTATTTTTTATAATTTTATTTTGTCGTTTTCTTTGCTATTTTGGTGTTTATCGCTATTTCAACTTTGTTGCTTTGCTACGCCACCTCAATTCACCATTCATGCACCTGCAATTCACTTTATACACCATACACCATGCCATACTCGAATATATATGTACATATATATGTAAATAAGTATGTAAATACATTTACACGGCAGCATGTGTCGCATTTTCGTATGGGCTTGCACATCTCCCCTCAACAAATGTTGCCCCGAACCGTTCTTAGCGGACCGGTCTTTGCTCGTCAAGCAGCGGTGCAACATCGTCATCGCCACAAGAGACTTCAGCGCGTTCGTTACTCGTCGTTGGTTATCAGCAACAACAGATATTAAATTGTATTTTTATTAGTATAACTTTTTATGCTTTTTTCATCATCTTAGCACGTCGATGATTATTGTTGCTTTATGAAGATATATACAAGTTTCTTTTGTTTATTTAACAACATTCACTTCTATGCAGCTGCTTCTGCCATTTTAAATTTAGAAGAAAAAAAAACATCATGCTTAAGCGTTATGCTTTAAGATACTAAAAACTTTTGAAAATTTGTTACTTAAAAACAAGCAGAAGCTTCAGCGGCTTCTTGTGGCCGAATGTAATACACAGCAACATGCTGCTTTAAATAAACTACATTACCGTTAAAATATTTTTCACTCAAAAACAGTGGCATAACTAAGTACATAATCAAAAGGAAACCCATAAACATTTGTCGGCGACATGTTGCTACAAAAGGATTTTTTTTTTTACTTTTTGTCAGATGTGCTCATCAACTTCATTAAATGAAAAAAAGAAATCTCAGTGTTCTGTTTTCATTAGAAAGCACGCTAATTGCGGTGTTTATAAATTTCTAGCGCCTAAAAGACAATGAGCAGATAATTATTTTTAATTTAAAGTCGCCACAAACAAGTTCATCTCTCTTCTGCATATCTATTACACTGTTTGTTCATGTTTTATGAGTAAAACTTTAATAAATTCCTAAAAAAAAGAGTTAGTTGCAACCTGCAACAGCCATATTATCGGTGGCATCATCTCCATTTACCACATCTTCGTGTAAATCTCTCATATCCATCGCTGCATTGCACACTCACATCGCGCTATTCTTCACGGCTCAGCCTCTCATATTCACTAAATATATATAATATAATATAAAAAATATATATTTATGAAGAAATCAAAATGAAAATTTCATTTGAGTTCAACCAAAAATGCTTTTTATTTCTTTTTTAGAGTTTTTTTTTATTTTTTGCTTTGCTTACTTGGCTTGTTGCTTGCAGCCAAAATCTCTATATCTCATTATCTTAATTGTTTCCTTACACAAAGTGCATGGGTATGCAGAGTCTCCCCCTTTTTTATTCCATGAAATAATATATTAATATTGTAACTTATTATTATTTTTTTTACAGGCTTACTAATTCAACGTTTATCGCTGCAACAAGTGCTCGAAGTATCACCCGAGTGGAAAACGAATAAGAGCGAGGCGCAATACACATGGTTGGAATATGATTTTCGTGTTACCTGCGATCCGCATTACTATGGTGCAGGCTGTGCGAATTTGTGTCGTCCACGTGATGATCCTTTCGGTCATTATACCTGTTCTGATGGTGGAGAAATTATTTGCTTGACTGGTTGGCAGGGTGATTACTGTGATAAAGGTAAGAAAATAATTATCTTTAGCATAGAAATATGAATAAAATTAAAACAATTAAAAATAGGGATAAACATTAAAGTTTTTAGGAGATGTCAGAATACGGAGACAAAGATAAAAAAAATATATGAAAAATAATAATTGTAATAATAATTCTAATGAATATAATAATAAAATAAATAATTATAAAAAAATAATGAAAAATATGAAAAACAAAAATAATAAAAAATTAAATTTGAAAATCAAAATAAAAATTAAATAAAAAATAAAATCAAAATAAAATAAAAAAATAAAATAAGAAACTAAAATAAAAAAATAAAATAATANAATAAAAAAAAAATAAAATAAAATAAAAAAATAAAAATTAAATAAAAAATAAAATAAAAATAAAATAAAAAAAATAAAAATAAAATAAAAATAAAATAAAAAAATAAAAAAAAGCATTTAAAAAAAAATAAAAAATATAAAAAAAAATTTAAAAAATAAAAAAATTAAAAATAAGTTAAAAAAATAAAAAAAAAATAAAAAAATTAAAAAAATTAAAAAAAAATTAAAAAAAAATATAAAAAAAAGTAAAAAAAAAAATTAAAAAAAGTAAAAAAGTAAAAATAAAAAATAAGGAAAAATTAGAATAAAAAATAAAATAGATTAATTAATAAATAATAAAAAGTTATAAAATGATAATAAAAAATAACAATAAAATATAATAACATAGTTATTAATCCAAAAAAAATATAATAAGAAAACTTTAAGTAAAACAATAAACAATAAACAACAATAAAAACAATAACAACAATAGAAAAATAATAATAATAGGAAAATTTATAATTTAATAGGAAAATAATAAAAATAATAGAAAAATAATAACAATAATAATTATAATAACAATAATAATAATAATAACAATAATAATAATAATAACAATAATAATAATAATAACAATAATAATAATAATAATAATAAAAACAATAATAATAATAATAATAATAATAATAACAATAACAATAACAATAACAATAATAATAATAATAACAACAATAAATAATAGTAATACATAAATAATAATAATAGAAAAATAATAATAAAAATAGATATAAAATAATAATTATATAAAAATAAAAATAATAGTACGAAACAGCTGGACTTGAACATCAAAGAGAATAAAAAGTATAATAGTAGAAATTTAATAAAAAAAAAAAATAATAATAAAAATATAGTAATAAAAATATAATTATAAAAGTATAAAAATAAAAAAATAACAAAAAATAATAATCAGTGTTAGTAAAAAAATATTAATAATAAATGTAAAAAAATAATAATAAAGAATTAATCATAAAAGTTATAATAAAAAATTATCGTATAAGGAATAAAAAATTAGTAATAAGAATACTAATCGTAATAGGTATAAAAAAGAATAGTAAAAGTAATAATAATTAAATTAAATAAAGAAATGAAAAATGTAATAATAAAAAATTGAATAGTAAAAAATAATAAGAAAAGATAATAGTACAAAAAAATAATTATAAAAAAGTTAAAACAATAAAAAAATTAAATAGATGTCAATAAATTAAGCACAATAATCATTATTATAATTAATATATAAAAATAAAACTTATAAGTAATAAAAAAATAAGTGCAATCAACAAAAAAAGAGAATAATAAAACAATAAAAATTATATAAGTTTACGAAATAAAATAAAAATAAAAAAATAACTAAAATTAAGATAAAAAAAAATAATAATTTACTGTATAATTAATAGTTATTATATTCACATCTAATAATATAGTAGTAAAACGCAACAAATAATAAAAAAAAGATTATATTAAAGACAAAATCATAACAAGATTATGCAAAGAGTAAAGTTTGCCATATTTATTTTTTTTACAACTAAATAGTCATTTTCTCGATATTTTTTTGTATAAATTAAAAATTCACTAAAAATTGTTAAGTAATTTCAAAACGCCGCATTCATTCACTATAGTCTCAGCAGCAACAACAGCACCACGCACCTGACCCGTTCATTCATTCATTCAGCAAATCGCTCATTTCCTTTCTTTATTAAAACACTTGTCTGCCCACTTACTTATTCAAGAAGCTGCTATAGTTGCTTCGAGCACTACCACCGTGCAACCTTCGCTGTACGCACTGCGTATTCAGCCCTTCGTCTCTTCTTAGCCACATATCCTTCGCAAATACTGTAAACAGCAGCCTGCTACACGCTTTTTTTTTTTTTTTTTGGAATACTTATTATTATTTTCTTTTGGCAAATTATACTTAAGTCGAATTCGAACTTTACGAAAGTGCCTTAATTTAAGGCCATTTACTCGATTAAATTCATCAAAACAATCGCAAAAAAAAGGGTGTATATTTACTCTTGTTGCTGCTGCTGCTGTTGTTGTTGAAAAACCGGTGCAACCATGCGGCAGCTGTATTTTTTTGGCAATCGCACCGCTTCCGATTTCCTTTTTGCTGTTCATTTTCATAACTATTTAAGTAGATATTTTGCGTTTGTCTTGCCATCGACAATGTGGATGTGCGCAAACAATAAAAAGACGACGCATGAAGGACAGCAACCGGGCAGGTAGCGTTCACCGAAAAAAAGGAAGCGCAAAACAAAAACAAAAATTTGTGTATTTACCACAAAATTCAAGGTGTAATCAACATCCGCTGCTGCAGAGCGTACAAGCAACCAACAAATTCCACACAGTGAAGAAGGATGAAGATGAAGAAGGTACATACGTGTATATATGAAAGAGCAAACGAGTGGTAGTGGCGCAGCTGAAGGGTCTTTAAATTTTGTGCAACACACGCATGCACAACGCTCCACAGGCAGCGTACACAGCCGGGCACATAAACACTTGGGAAGCACTTGCGTGTCTTGAGATCTATCCCTTCTTGTAGTGCTGCTGCTGTTGTTGTATGTAGTTGTAGTACGACAGGTATTGACACAGAAAAGCAACAACACCAACACCAAGCGAGATCAGCAATGAAATAATGCTGCAGCTAAAGGAGCAGCATATATGTTTGTTAAAAGGAACACCAAAATAACTGAACTGCCTGCGTTCGTGCCCGACATACTCCCTGACAGCTACTCAATTTCGGTATGTGTGTGTATGTGTGTATGTGTGTCGCTACTTAATGCTCCATATGCGGCAACGATACGAAGAACAGCAGCAGCAGCAGTGGTAACAAAAACAACAGCAATAAAACGCCGTCCAATGTTTCATTCTTTTTCGTTTGCTTAACCGTGTCCCTTCCACGCCCTGACTCCTTACTTCTTGCCTACCTTCATTTTAGTACCCAAACTGTGGCGTGGGAAGATTTTTCTTTAGGCTCTGCCTTTGCCTACAATATTTCGTCTTCCTGTGCGTCCCCCCATACCCTGCCACGCATCATCAGCTCATTCACTGTTGGGTTTTGTAGCATGGTTCATGGCGTGTTATGTATCTGTCTTGATCGCAGGCATTCTTTTGTTGCACTCTTTTTATTTTTATTTTTATTTTTTTATTTTGTTTTATTTCTTTTGTGGCAAGAACATAAAACAGTCAGCCAACCAGCCAGGCAACCTAACTACCAACCGGCCAGCCTCTCCCCAAAAAAGTGGAGTAAGAATGAAGAAAAAATGCTTTATGTCAGCGAGCAGTTAGAAGAAGAAACCAAAATATTGTACAAAAGGAGTTTGTGTCGGCTTAACAGCGGTTTAGGGGCATTATTGACAATCGCGGGCTGCGTTCTTATTTTATTTTATTTTATTTTTTTTGAACATTGAAAATTTTCTTAAAAACCTGCATTTTTTCACATCTACTGTTTCATAACAAAAAGGTGCTAAGAATAATTTCAGTGGAAAGCCGATCAACAATAGCATTTTCCCTCGATCATTGCCGCTCCAATTTACAGTTTCTACAGCCGAAATTTGAATACTAAGCGCCCAAATGTCCATACTTACCTGTAATACGCTTTTTGTACCTTTTTTTTTTACTCAAAAGCTCACAGCCGTTCTATTAATGCTACCTTCGTTTGGCTTTTTTCAACTGGCGATCAGTGATCATTCAACATAAATGAAAGAAAGAAGAAGAAGAAGAAAACAACAATAGCACAAAATTATACTGAAACGCGCTGACGATGACAAATGAAAAAATTTTCTACACTCATTGATTTTGTAATTTACATTTAAATATTTTTCTTATATACTATACATACATACGGAGTTCGAGCAATGATCGCGTACTTTGTGTACACTTCCTTGCAGCGTGTAGAAAAAAGAAAACAATAATGAAATCAATGTCAACAACAGCAATTTGAAGCTTCCAGTCGGTCAACGCCACATCTTGTTGCAAGCTTTGCTTGCTTTACTCGATCGATGCCACGAACGCTCATCGATCGTGTGGTTAGTAATTACACTTTAATTTGAATGTTTGCTTAGGTTACCAACGCGTGTGTTTGGGATGAGAATGTAAAAAAGCCAGCGTGCTTCCTACCAGCAAGTATTTAATTCAAATTCATATTTATTCGATTTGTTATTATTTTCTTTTTTCTTCGCACAAATATTCATTATACAAAATTACGCCGTTCACCTATTACTCCTCTACCAAGCACAACAACAGTAACTCATATTTTTTTTTTGTTAAATCATCCCATTTGATTTGACAAGCAAAAGTGATTTTCAATAATGACAAAAAAGTGGTTTGAGAAGAGCAAAAAAAAAAAATAATTAAAAAAAAGAAAAGAAAACGTGTTCGAAAAAAAAAAATTCGTTTCGCCACATATATTTTTCGATTTTTCAAAGTGGTTTTCTTACGAAAATAACTTAAACATCAAGCAAAGGCATTGCGCGGCTGATCGATGATTTATTCATTTATTTGTTAGTGCTTTTTTGTAAATTTATTTATTTTTCTCCTTATTTTTTTTTTTTTTTTTTGTTTGAGCAATTCAAAATTATTTGATATGTTAATGACTACTCGAAAACCTACTTAAGGTGTTTGACTTTTATACAAAAAAAATTAAAA